TTGTTTACAATAATAATAATATAAATATGTATAATAAAAAGGGCATAACATCGATATTTGTGCATCTCTCGAAATTTCCTCGAAATTTATTATTGACACTTTTCCGCGATGGGTCTCGCTGCGCTAACTTTGTGAATAGCTGTCATTGTATTGATTTCATAAAAAATCATTTTGACAAGTGTATCAAAAAGTTAAAAATATTACAATATAACAGTAGTATAATATTGACAGTATTAGTAATATTATATTAATTTTTGTTTTTGTGTTGAAAAAGATAAATAGTGAAAAAAATAAATAAATAAATTTAAAATCGTTAAAATTAAAGAATATATATTAATAAATTGGTATATAATTATGTCAAGTAAAGTTTTGTAAATATATACATTTTATTACCTTTAAAACGCTTATGTTTTTAAATAATTTTCTAATATTACAATTTAAGATTAATGTAGTTAATATGTTTGAAAAGTGGGAATAGCTAAAAGATGGCGGATTAATCAAAAGTTGCTTTTTCGTGATCAGTCTCTGATTATAGTGTCTCCTCTAAGGGCGCTGTCATATGCAGCGTAATTTGCGTAAACGTAATCTGTGTATTCTAGTATTTTACTAAAACACGTTACACCATTCTGAAAGTCTTCTTTCAGAGCGTATTTCGCGAAATTTCGAGAAATACATAATTAATATGATCAATTCCCGGTTAGATACATACTTCTGTTGTAATCTCTAACAGAAATGCTAAACTAATTTGTGATTGGTTTTTGTAATCTGCATATCTGGAAAAGTACGCTTCATGGGAAACCGAGACTTTACATATGAGTATGTGTACGAATAAATCAAGTGCATGCGACCTAATCAGTGCAAATGTATTCAGAAGGATGAGGTCCAATCCATTGCCGATTGGTCGATTAAATAAAAAATTTTTGATAGGTGATTCATTAGAAAATTCCTAGGCATCAGCTGATGTAAGTGGTGTGTCCGATTGAAAATATGCGCATCTGGGACGCTCCAATTCAGAAGTCATCATGGATCTTGTCATCCTGACTTGTTGTTATTGATAATATGGAAGCGATGGCAAAAGTAAAAGAAGATGAAACAATCTCAACAACAGAAAATTAGACGATGTAATATACTAAAATTGTTTGAAATATGGAAACTGATGGTTACCAACCTACCAACAGGAAAAAGTTCGTCATAGAATATGGGTGCGTCTGATATTCACAAAAAGACGAAGATTATTACAGAGTGACAATCTGGTCAAAGAAATGGAATGTGAAGATTACGAAATGTTCTACAATTATTGTAGAATGTCCATAAAAATGTTCAATTAGTTGTTAGATATTGTTGGGTCATGCATTGAAAAACATAAATTAA